CTCTTCTATTTGTGCAAATCTCCTTATTGTCTGGCTGAAGAGAAGCCAGCTGGGTTCTCCCATCAGCTTCTGTGCTCCGTCCGGGGGGCGCCCTCGTGTTGGGTGGAGAAGTTGGATGACAGATGCGTGCGCGGTTGGAAAAGGGAGGAGTGTTTGCTCGCCGTCCACAGGAGGGTGCTGTTCTTTGATGCTGCACCCAAACGCGGAGGCGGCAGTGCCTCAAGGTGAGCTGTGGACGGGAAGCCCTGTCCGCAGACTCGCCGGACTCTGAGAGCTCGGGGACCTTGGCCTGCCTCCCCGCCATGCTGGAGTCTGTCACATCCTACGGGTCCTTGGAGAAAACTGGTCCGCCGAGCCGGGCATCCTTTTCCACGCTGCGATGCATCTCGTTATGTCACATGAAAAAGTCGGATTTTATATCGTCACCGCCAGGCTCAGCAGAGAGGCCGTCCAGTGTCGACTCGCCGCAGTTTCCTGCGGCAAACGCTGGTGCTCACTGTTTCTGGTTCCTGCTGGGAAGCGTGGGTTTTGTCGATGGAAACACATGGTCTGTTGTTTTCCTCCCAGCGACGGGCTCACGTCCTTCATTGTTGAGAAACCGCCTGCCCGGGAGCTAAGTCTGAAGAGCCACGGTTCGCGGCCACCCCTCCTCTCCTGGAACAAGGATGCCCGACGTCGGGGGCAGCGCTGGCCGTCAGCCTCGCAGGGCTGGGCACCGCCCCGGCCTCCCGGGCCCCGCTCCGGAACGGCCCGAGGGCCTCCGCACTTCGTCGCCCAGGAGAGCTGAAAGGTGTTGCTCCGGAGCTGAGATTTAGTAACACGAATCATTTTTACAACTCGATCAAGGCCATTGAACACTGCAGCTGCCTGACAAAACCAGCAGCCACACACGCCGCTGGTGCAGTGCCAGCACCGCCGTGGTCATGCCGAAGTCCCAGTGGTCCCCCCCACGGCAGGTGCCCATGTCTGCACCGGGAAAAAGACAAACATCTTAGCTCAGCTGGGGGAGCGGCCCCCCGTCGGCGAGGGAACAAGCCGGGCTGCGGCGGGACCTGGGCCGCACAGCACTGGGCTGGGCTCTAACCCGCCCGAGTCTGAAACGTCCTCTTCCGTGTCGCCTGGGGAAGTGTTACTACACGTCACAGAAGAACCACCGGGAGAGTGAGACGCGTGGACGGCCGCTGGGAGTGTCAGCCAGCCCCCCGCAGGAGCCCGTCCTCCCGCCGTCCGTGCTAATGGGACCCAGGAGTGGCCCCGAGTTGCGTTTTAAATGGTGCTTCTCACTCACTCTGCTTTATCTATAAAAATTAACGGCCCTGTGAGGATTAAAGGCCCCGAGTCGAAAGCCAGGCTGGAGCTGTTATCTGGGTTATGGCCCTCCATTTCTCCTGTCACACAGTAAGAATTTATTAACCGTTTGCTCGAATATTCATTTTTATCATAATGATTACAGATAAGATTTTCCTGGAAGGAATGGGCCAGAATCATCAGGAAAAATGCCAGCCTTTTTATGAGAAATTCACCCGGCACAGAAATGGCTGGTTTAACTTCTGGAGGACGCACCGCCCCTCCCGCCCAAAGAGCTGTCCCGGCCATCGCAGCGAAGCGTGAGGACCGCAGGCTCTTCGTGGAGACGGGCCGCGTTTCCGGTCCCTGGGGGCACAGTGGCCTCTCCTTTCCCTCTTTGTTTTGGAACGAACGCTGCTGTCAGACTGACCCCTGGATAGGCAGGTCTGGGTAGACATGGTTCCATCTTCTGACCTTGTCTTCCCTGGAAACGGAAATGATATGGGGACTGGAGGTGACGCATTGTGAGCTAAAAAGGACTTAACGTGAGAAAGGGAGATGGGTCAAGAGGATGGGACGTACGTCTGCCTCCCCCACCCCCACGGGGCCCCACCGGGTGGCTCAGTGGTTGAGCGTCGACCCGTGAGCCATAGAGGTTGCTATTCAATTCCCGGTCAGGGCACAGGCCCAGGTGGCAGGCTCCATCCCCAGTGTGGGGCGTGCAGGAGGCGGCGATCAATGATGTTCCTCTCTCATGGCCATTTCTATCTCTTTCTCCCTCTCCCTTCCTCTCTCTCTCTCAAATCAATAAAAACATATTTTTAAAAATTCCATGAAGTGTCAGAAGAAGGTTATGAAAGATTCCTAAGAGGAAGCGAATGAAAGCAGATCTACGAAAAAACAAAACGGAGCAAAACCCCGCGGGGGAGAGGGGTTCTGTACCGTCCAGGAGAGGAAGCAGGACAGCCCCTAACCGACGGCTGTGACCCTGGGCCGCGGAGGCTGGGCCGCTCTTCCTGCAGCCTCGGACCCACTAGCGTTCAGTGGACCCACTCGGGCTCAGCGGTGTTTGACCCCAGGTTAGAGCGGTAAGGGCGCAAAGCCAAACCTCACAGTCTCACCCGCGGGGGGTCCCGGGGCCCAAACACAGGACACGTTACTTGCCCACCCGCCCACTGGTATATGCTCTCCCTGTCCCTGGCCCCAGAAGAAGCGACTCGAAACAGGGCTTTCATCCCCAAATGCAACAAGGAGCACACGGCCGAAATGTCGGAAGAATCTGGGAGCGGACTGGAGAACCACCCCTGGAGAGGACAGAGCTGCCAGGAGGGGAGGCGGCCGCGGGCCAAGGAGGTGCATCACCGGTGGTTGAGAAGACGGCATCCACCAGGCAAGCCCGGCAAGGGGTTGGGAGTTCACCAGGTTGAGGCAGATGCAGGGCTCCATGGGCCCGAA